TAATAGTACAGATTCTCTATTTTTTTTGTAGTTACAATTTTTTCTCATGTACCTTTGAAGATATGAATTTATAATAATAACTTTATATTTTCAATATTTCCTACATTCTCTACTACTTCGACAATCTGACGTTATACGAAAATGTCAACGTCAAGTTGTATGACGTGTGATGGATTTATAAGGGAAAAGTCCATTTTTGTCAAAATTAAGTTAAGAGTAAGCAAAAGTTATCTCAAATATCTCTTTCTGATAATACTGTGAAACGTCGCATTGATGATATGACCGAAGACATACAAAACCAAGTAGTTGATGCAGTAAAACAATCAGTCATTTTTTGCTATTCAGCTAGACGAGAGTATACACATAGCACAATGTTCTCAGTTAATTGTTTATGTTCGGTATATTGAAAACGAAAGAATGAAAGATAAGCTACTCTTGTCTACAAAGTTGGAGACCATACAAAAGCTATTGATGTTAGGAAAGCAGTGTCAGACTTTTTTTCTTCAATGCTTGTTTCTTGCTCAGGCTTTGTGCCATTAGTAAGAGAAAAAAAAATGCTGATGTGACAGGGACATATTGTTTTATACATCGACCAGCCTTGGCAGCAAAAACCCTTTTAAATGGAATCAATGCTGTCTTAAAGCTGTGTATTCAAGTAGTGAATTACATAAAAAACAGTGCCTTGAAAACTCGACTGTTCAAAACTCTTTGTGAAGATTTAGGAAGTGATCACAAAACACTCCTATTTCATACAGAAGTACGATAGCTCTCAAATGGAAACACGTTAACCAGATTATTTGGTCTTCGAGATGAAGTAATCAACTTCTTGGAACATCAAAAGCAAAATGAACTAAGCGTGGCCTTCAAAAAATATTGTACCCAAGTAAAATATGGCCAAGCTTATTTGTCAGACCTCTTTGAATCTTTGAACAGCCTTAACCTAAAACTGCAGGGTGGAGACTCAAATATAGTTACTCATCGTGATGCGATAAACATGTACATTAAAAAATTGCGACTTTGGAGGCGTAAAATATCAGCAAACCCCTACAATTATTCAAATTTTCCTAAAGTAAAGTCAATCTCAGAAGAAACATGCTTCAACGACATTTATGAGGGATCAAGTTTGATCAAGATTAATTGAAGAGTTCCAGAAATGCTTTCCAAACAGTTGTGACGATAGTATTTACAAAATGTCAACTGACCAATTCCATGTTAACATACGACTCCCTGCCTGAATCACTTCAAGATGCTTTGCAAATAAAACGTGATTCCTCTGCCAAATACAACTTTGATATAATATATAAGCATTTAATTTGGTTAAAATTTTTCAGAATGTATTCTAGTGTATCACGAGAAGCTCTTCTTTTATATTTCCGTTCCTTTTCAAGCACCTATTTGTGGGAAAAAGTATTTTTAATACTTGTGGCAATTAAAACAAAGTACTGGAATAAACTAGATGTTGCTAGTGACTTGCGTCGTGCACTTACTAAAACTCAGCCACGAACTGGCATACTAGTAAAAAAATGCAAGCCCATCCATCTCACTAACCAGCCTAATTTATTTTCCTTTTATTAGTAATTTTTGTATTTTATGAAAACTGATATTGTTTTATCTTATGGCAGTATAAATAAATATTTTTTGTTTGTAATGTAATACTTATTTGGTTTTGTTTTAATCCTAGGCCCATACATTTTATTGTTAAGGAGGGGGCACAAGAAGCTTTCATTTCAACAAAAGGGGGTGTGGTAAAAGAAAGTTTGGGAACGCCTGGTATAGAGCTTTTCATAATTTTAAACTTTTTAGGTAAAAGTTTCGACAAAAAAGCTTAAAAAAAAGTAGGAAAGCAGTCATATCCATGAGATTAAATGACATGATTTTTTTGCTATGCAAAAATTAAAACAAACATAAAAAGTAAGTAAAACAACTTAATAGTAACAACTTATTTTTTTATATGAAGAAATGTTTATGTATACTTAATTTACATTTTGAAACCTAAAAAATATCTACATAATGCGATATTTTTAATTATTGCTTAAAATAAAAAAAATCAACAATTTTAACAAATGTAAAAAATATCACATTATGTGTTTTACAATAAGTAAGTCTTTGGTAAAATACTTTTTTTACTAGTGTAACGTCTACTGTATCGAAAGGTACACAAAAAACTAATGTATCTGAAGTATTGTAATAATAGATGTAACAGTCCACTCTCACGGATACTGAAGGCATGTTAGTGCTTGAAACGGGAGAAGCGTTTTCTATAGAATCAGCCATCGACTCGATATGTTCATACAAAACGAATTGTTTAAGGTATGCGCGCACTTGACCGAACCGGCCAGCAATGAAACGCACCACGACGAACGATAATTTAATGTGTTTGTGTATTTAAATTAATCAACGGGCGCTTTACGGAAACACTACACATAAACTCATACCGAATCGCACAGCAAACTCTGAACGGAATATTTTCGTGGTTAGTGTGTAGCTGCCATAGACGTATATATTAACATACACTGAGAATGCCAGCAAAGAACAGTGATGACAACATCTTTTGCATTTGTTCGATCTGTCCCACTCTAATGCAATGAAACTCCCCACTCGCTCTCTCCCGATCTAAAAGAGACGCTGCTATACTTACTTGAAGTAAGGTAGAGACATAACTATTAACGAAAACAAGGATGGTATCGTCACTTGCTGTTAACGCCGTGAAATCATATCCTGGATCAGACGTGTCCTCAGATCACAATCCACTTATCGCCAAGATAACAAGCACCCTTAAGAATATTAAAAGACATCAAAGAAACCCTACAATAGACACAAGAAAACTTAAAAAACCTAAAGTAAAAGAATGCCTCCAACATGGACTGCATGTAAACTGCAGCAAATCGAACACAAACACTAATGATATTGACGAGTACTGGGGTCGACTAAAACATTGTCTACTGGAACCCTGTAAAGAAATACTAAAGACTTCCGCAAGAAGAAAAGAAGAATGCCTTTTAATACACAAGAAAGTTAAAGAACTGGCAGAACTAAGAAAACAAGATCCCACTGTGCACTTCTGGATAGACACAGGACTACTATAACACAGACGGACGAGAAAGTACAAAGAGCAGAATATATCGACGAACTGTTTGATGATGAAAGAGGAGATCTGTAGCAGATAGAACTTACGTCAGAAGAAATAGGAAATGTAGAGTGGGGAAAAAACGTGGACCTGACATGCTTCCCATAAAAATTCTAAAAATTCTAGGTGAGAAGCACATTGACGTTTTAGTGACACTCTTAAACCAAATTTATAGTTCAGTCCTAGTGTCCAAAAGGCGGTTAACGTCGATTTTTATTTGTCTTCCCAAAAAGAAAAACGCAAGAGAATGCAGCGATTACTGCACTATTAGTTTAATGTCTCATGTGTTAAAGTTACTACTAAAAGTCATCCATAACCGAATATATCACAAACTGTACATAGACATTAATGGTACACAATTTGGTTTTCGCAAAGGCCTAGGAGTGCGTGAAGCTCTTTTTTCACGTAATATACTGATACAAAGATGCCTGGACGTCAATCAAGATATATACGCATGTTTTATTGACTATAATAAAGCATTCGATAAAGTACGATATAAACAATTAATGAATGTCCTGAAATCAAAGAAGAATGACTACAACGACATCAGGATCATATCAAATTTATACTATAAACAGCGAGCAAAAGTACGTATTAACGAACAGCTGTCAGAAGAAATTGAAATTTGACTTTGTTTTATGAAATGGAATATTGGACCTTGAATGCGACATTAATGAAAAAACTGGAATCATTCGAGCTGTGGGTGTATAGAAGAATTCTGAAAATATCGTGGACAGAACACGTCACAAACAAAGAGGTTCTGAGAAGGATGACTAAAGAAAATATAAATTTTAAATACAATTAAATCAAGAAAATTGGAATATCTCGGACAACTACACGTGAAGAGAAATACACCTTCCTCCAACTGATTATGCAGGGAAAGATCCAAGGAAAGAAAATCATAGGGAGGCGTAGAATGTCATGGTTGCGCAATCTGAGAGGGTGGTACGGATGAACAACAAATGAACTTTCCAGAGCCACCGCCTCAAAAGTCCGAATACCTATGATAATTGCCGACTTCCGCCGCGGAGATGGTACTTGAAGAAGAAGATCGTCACTTAGCTATATAGACAGATAGGTTAATATATATATATGTCTATGGTAGCCGCGCGATACCTGGTGACTTAAGTGACTGCTACCACAAAGAAACGAACCAAAAAAGGTAAAATACGTATCTAATAGTTACTGCTACGCGTTTCTCTGGCGGAATAGAGTTTCTAAAAATTGTATTTTATTTTATGAGATCAGTTTTTCCAATAAATATGAGTTCTTAATATTTATTTTTAGTAACTCATTCCGAATTATTGATCAAGTTTGTCTTAATGATCGATTAAATCAGGATATAACGTAGCAAATTCCTTTTCGTTCTGTTGTTTTTTTACAAAATTTTGTTGTTTCTATTAAAGACACAACAAACTAACAATAATAATTTTTTAATCCATCTTCCATGATGTTAATCCACTGCCTGAGCTGACATGATTTTGCCAGTAAATGTTTATTAAGTCATTTTATTACGGGCTGTAGCGGTGCGTTCTGTTGCTGGCCGGTTCGATTAAGTGCGCGCGTACCTTTAGTCGACGGTAACCTTCATTTCGGGATCATTTAAATTTAAAAATCACTTGTTGAATCGGTTGACGATTCAGCGAATGATCAACAGAATCAATAATTGTTATTTTTGATTCTTGCACGATAATCCACACCTTCTGTTAAAAACATTATTAACTTAATTTGATTGACCACTCAATAGTATATAACTAGGGATTGTTTTGTATTTGTCATTAATATCTTACGAGAGTGTTGTCAGCAACTATTACTTATCTATTATATATCAAACTTCATCTGCAAGAGTTTTTACGACCAAAATTCTTATTGGTTAGCTCGCGTTTTCTAGAATAATTGCTTTCTTGTAATCCTTAGATCTCTTCATCCACACTGCAAGACCTATACAAATAAAAAGTGCCGCTATAGCTATATGGACGCAACCATAAACAAAATACTGATCTTTAGGGTTGAGCGCAAACCCAACGCCTTCTGTAACAACAACCGCTGTTAAAATAGTTTGAAAAACTACGGCTATGAAAGTGTTAACACCAAACACTAATCCGTAGCTATCATCTTGGATAAATTTTGCAATCTCGCTACAAGTTACTGTTATCATAAAATGGTACATTCCACCAAACACGATATAACACACATATGCCCAGTAGACTTGATTAGTCCTCGAAGCAAAAAGTATTATAAAGCCTTGAAAGAGAGAACATAAGGTAAGGCAGAGCTCCCCTTTGATTTTCCAGTCTGTTTTGAGAAATCCGGCAAATAATGCTCCGAGAAAACCTATTACTGTTAATACTGCTTCGACGGCTCCGTTGTATATTGGCTTGGAGGGATCGTTTACTATAGCTGTCCATAATGGTTGCATGTACGTCTGTACCTACAAAAAATTTTAATGTAAATAATAATATATCATCAACAATAAAGAGGTTATGCCTAAATATCAAATATGTTTGTCATAACCGCCAGTTCATTTCGACGATGAAAAATGAAGAAATTGCAATGAAAATATGACAAAGAACAATGAAAGAGTCAATAGCCAATAGAAAATAATAATTAATTCTATTAATTGAAATGAAATAAATTAATGAAATGAAAACAATCAACCACTGGCAGCTTCATGTACAGTATTGCCAGACTTCCCACATAGCCAACATAGACCAGTTGTAATAGAAATTGGCATCAAAATATCAATAATATCATCTTTTCCCCGACCTAGATGGAACTTTCAAAAAGCAGACTGGGCGACTTTTACTGAAAGATTGGACAAATGTCTGGCCTCCATTATAGCCATATTAAATCCAGGAAAGGCAAATAATCAGCCTCAAAACTACCATCCGTTTGCTTTGCTGAGCTGTGTTTATAAACTGTTGGAACGCTTAATCTACAACAGAATTAGTAGAAACGTATTTGAATTGATACCTATTGAGAAAGCAGGATTCAGACCTAACCGCAGCTGCACAGATCAGATCCTATCCTTAACAACACATATTGAAGCTGGTTTTCAAAGAAAACAAAAAACATCTGTTGCTTTCATTGACCTATCAGCTGCATACGATGCTGTCTGGAGACAAGGACTAATCTGCAAACTAATCCGTGCCGTCCCGTGTCAAAAGGTAACTAAACTCATTGATAACATGTTCACCGACAGACCTTTTCAAGTCACAATAGACAATTCTAAAAGTTTCCAAATGAAGCTCAGCAATGGACTGCCACAGGGATCTGTTTTGGCACCCTTACTGTTCAATTTATATATCGCGGACCTACCTAGGACAACTTCGCTGAAATTTGGCTACGCTGACGATTGGGCCATTGCAGCAAGACATAATAACATGGATATCACAGAAACAATATTAGCGGATGACCTTGCCATTATGGGAGAATATTTCGCAAATTTAGGCTACGGCCTAATGCAACGAAAACCGAAGTGTGCTGTTTCCATCTGAATAATGCCCAAGCCAACAAAAAACTCTCCATCCACTTCGAAAACAGACTGCTCACTCATAACTCGACACCAAAATATCTTGGAGTGACTCTGGACAGAACATTGAGTTTTAAAGAACATCTTCAAAGAACGACAGCAAAGCTGAAAACGAGAAATAATATAGTCCAAAAGCTATGTGGCACTACATGGAGGTCCTCAGCCTCCGTACTCAGATCATCCGCTCTCGGACTTGTATACTCGGTGGCTGAATATGCTTCCCCGGTATGGCTCAATAGCAAACACACAAAGATTATTGACACTCAATTAAACCAGACAATGCGAATGATCTCAGGTACAATTAGACCCACACCGAACTATTGGCTTCCCATTCTGAGTCACATTCCACCGCCGAAACTGCGAAGAAGTCATTCTCTTCTCAGAGAATATCGAAAAATTGAGGCTAACCATCAACTACCCATACACCAAGATAAGCTTGATATCGAAATAAACAGACTGCGCTCCAGATATCCTCCATTGCTAAGAGCCAACTCCTTACACTAAGAACATTTCAACCTGAGCAAAGCTTGGAGAACACAATGGGAGAGCGACTCACCACAGGAAGCACATCAAATGGCCTGTATCGATCAGAAACCGCCAGGCTTTGAACTGACCCGCAATACATGGACAACGCTAAACAGAATAAGAACAAGCAGCGGTAGATGTGCTGACAGCTTATATAGATGGGGAAAAGCCCTTACTCCTGAGTGTGACTGTGGCGCGCAACGACAGACCGTCCGTCACATTGTTGAAGAATGCCCCGAAGGTGACTCCCTGGAGTTTTCGATGAGTTCCTGAATGCGACCGAAAATGTTTTACATTATATTAATAATACATTAGATATTCGTTTGTAATACCACGTAACGTTTTATATTGATTTTTTAATTGTGTCTTCTTATTGTATGCCATACGATAAATAAAATAATTATTGTCTTAGTTAAGTAAGTATTAACATTAACTGAGTTTGATAATTTAGATTGGTACTGACGGAAAAAGTCTTACACATTTCAACCGCGTAATTTTAAATAACTTATTTCATTATTTATTTGCTAGACTAACTCGAGAAGAAAAGTCTAGCATTATAAACCTCTTAACAAAAACACTTACTTGTACGAATCCACATGTTGCTAAAGCGTACCAGAGAGACCATTTTAAGACGTATACATTTGTGAACGATGTTTTAAAGTGCGTAGTCATTAATGTAAAAGCATCCACCGCTTTTCTAGACAAAGGTTTTCTCACTTCTTCTTCCGGATGAAAATAAATGCTTTTCTTGGAAGCAGGCAGAAACAGACTCCAAGATGTGGCGACGATCATCGCTAGAAATAATAGAATGATTTAAAAATTATTGGTGATTGTAAATATCTTTAATTTTAGTACAAAAATGTTAAGACAATACGAGGAAAGAGAAACATATTCATCTATAACAGTGTTGGAAAGAACATATTATAAATAAATATTCTGTTTTTATGGAATTAAGTCATAATGATTGGTTGCGATTGTGATGATAATCACATTTTTAAACAACTAATGTTTGGCGCTTTGATTTCCACTCCGGAAATCGTTTTCAAAAAAAGGGTTTTATACAAATTCTGAAAAATGTATAACCAAAGTTTTTGTTATTAGTTTTGACATGCTTGACCTAGATCTTGTAGGAAAACAGTAGATAGTGGCTGTAACAAATTTTGAGGGTGGTGTTTTTACCCTTGAAACGTCAAATTCTGACTGTTTTGTGTATTCTGTGTTATATGTTTAAGTGAAATAAAAATTGTATCCTAGTTGTGGTTGACTAACGTAAATTGAGCAAAAATAGATTGGTTGTTTTGTGTGTACTGTGTGTTGCATATGTGTTGTGTCTAAGATTGTAAATTATGTTTTTTTTCGGCCTCTTATTACTCCGCTATTGTTGGTATATTATTGGTGTTGACTTCTTTTATTATTGTCAAAATAAGCCTGCTATTTTTCTGATAAGCCTGCACACTCTTCAGTTTTTCTGATAAGCCCTTTAATTAATATTTTGACTGACGACGCGAAAGACGAAAAAACCTTAAATACTCTTTATGTGTACCTACAATGCCAAAACATTGGCTGCGTTCACCAGATCAAACTAGATGCAAACATGTTCACAACTGTTTGCGCTTTGATTCTTAAACTTGTTGACAACAAGCTGAACGGTTATTGTGGAGGTTGAGATTTGACATTTTGCTTGGTTGAACCTAACCTAAAATAAATATTCTCAGTTTTTGAATTATTTTTTAATAATAAAAAAATAAAATCGATGATAACATAGCTAGCCTAACCTAACCATACAATCTTTTATGAATGTCTTCGGTAGCCGTTATTTTATACACAAAACCATTATAAATATATTCTATAATTTGTATAATTTCCATTCCCGCCATATTTTTGCTAATAGCCAACAAGTTTAGAAAATTCAACGTAAATATTGTACGCCTGCAAAAATGGCGATCGCTTTCCAAACACGTTTGACGTTTGCAACACTCAGCAAGCCGTTCAGAAGAATAAAGCGGAAACTGATTGCCAACGTTTGCATCTGGTGAACGCGACCATTATTATCTGAAGAAAAAGTCACCGAAATGAAAATCGAGATAACAAAAGTAAAATGGGATATCATCAGTGGAGTCAGTGAAGTAAGGTGACATGGAGAAAACCCGACAACAGCAAAATCAGGGCATATATTTTACAGAATAGGTAGTGAAACCGAATCTATCGGGGGAGTCGGTTTCTTTATACACAAATGACTTACAGATAACATAGTAATTACAAGAAGAATATCCACAAGAGTTGCCTATTTAATCGTATAGCTAAACCTAAGGTATAAAATAAAGATTATTCATCCAACAACGAACCACCCGAATGGGCAGATTAAAGAATTCTACGATGATATCTCAACGGCACTGAAAGAAACACCAACACACTACACGAGTATATGCGGCGACTTTAACGCAAAGATCGGTCTAAAGCAGGATGAACAGGAAACAGCACTAGGTAAATTTGGATCCAAAGGCAGAAACTAGAATTTCTATTTCAACAAAGTCTATACCCGATGAATAGTTTCTTCTCTAAAAAAGACAACAGAAGATGGACGTGTAAAAGCCCAGATGGCAAGATCAGAAACGAGATAGACTATAATCAGTGACAAAAAACATATACTCAACGATGTCACAGTCCTTAATAGCTTTACCGCAGGCAGCGATGATAGAATGGTAAGAGCCAAACGAAAATTAGACTTAGACTAAACAAAAAGATCCAAAATGATTAGGAAGAAAGCCAACCCCATGTGGAAGGACCCAACGAATTTAAATGAATACCAAGACAATATCAATAAAATCCAACAACAAAACGAATGCATAAAGAACGTAAATACCCTAAACGAAAATATTGTAGAAGCAAAGACGAAAAAATAACCATTGAAACAAAGCAACTAATGGAAACTAGAAGAGAAATCAAAGGAAACGAAAGTATTGACGAAGAAAAACTACGAAAAATATCAAAAGCTATAAGCAAAGATTTAAGAAAATTTAAGAATGAAAAGATCCACCGAACTATAGAAGAGAATAAAAGTCTGAAAGTCCTGAGAAGACGACTAAACAATGGAAAATGTGAAATACACAAACTAGAGAACAAAGAAGGAGTCCCCATATTAAATAGAGAAGAACTACTACACATAGTTGAAGACTTCTATAAAGAACTATACACAAGTCAAAGAGAAGACCAAACGGACTTGGAACCCGCTTCACGCAATATCATCAACTAGAATTCAGAGGTCATGCCAGATATCACTCTAAGCGAAATCCAAGACTCAATGAAAAATATGAAAAGCAGAAGGAATAACAACCCCAATAAACCTATGGGGTTGACATTAAAAAAAATTTATGTGTACAATATTTTACATGTCTTTGATCAAACTACCAAAAACTCAATTATATTGGAGTTCTCAATTTGATATTACTAGAGTTCGTGAAATAATGAGTTGAGACAGATGGGAAACAGTCTTCTTCCTATGCCGTCCCCATTAACGGAGGTTGGCGACCACATTCTTAAAAGCTTCTCTGTCTTTTGTAACGTGGAATAATTCGTCTACAGTCATGTTTGTCCAGTCTCGAATATTTCGCAGCCATGACTTCCTCTTTCTACCTATTCCCTTTTTGCCATCGACTCTACCCTGCATGATGACCTGCAGAAGACTATATTTATTATTTCTTAGTATGTGTCCAAGGTATGCAGTCTTGCGTACTTTTATCGTTCTCAACAATTTTTTGACTCGACCCATTCTTCTCAGCACTTCCTCATTGGTGACCCTGGCAGTCCATGGATTCTCAACATTCTCCGGTATATCCAAAGTTCAAAGGCTTCAATCTTTTTAACTATTTGCGCTTTTAGTGTCCATGTTTCTACCCCGTACAATAATTGCGACCAGACGTAACATTCAACAAACCTCAGTCTCAGCGCAATATTCAGATTTTTGTCACAGAACAATTGTTTGAATTTTAAGAACGCTGCCCTTGCCATTTCTATTCGTACCCGGATCTCTTGGTCTGGATTTAGTTCTATGTTGATGTAAGCTCCCAGATATTTATATTTTGTCACTCTCTCTATTTGCTGTCCACCAAGAGTTAGTTGTTCATTATTTATTGGACTCCTTGATACTATCATAAATTTGGTCTTATCTGTGTTGATGTCAAGTCCCATTTGAATGCATTCACTATTTATTGCATCTAGTAAAGTTTGTAGATCTTCTATACTCTCAGCCATAATTACCGTGTCATCTGCAAATCTCATGGTGTTTATGATTTCTCCACCAATTCTTATTCCCTCTTTTCTTTCCCATAAGGCTTTTCTGAATATGAGCTGTGAGTACACGTTGAAAAGCGTCGGAGACAAGACGCATCCTTGCCTAACCCCTCTCGCAATCGGTATATTATTTGTTTCTATATCGTTCACCTTTACTACTGCTTTCTGGTTCAGTATATAGCCTTAATAAACTCAATGTCTTTTTTGTCTAAATTGATGTTTTTTAATTCATCTATTAACTTCATATGCTGCACTCGGTCAAAGGCCTTCCTAAAGTCTATGAAGCATACATATGCACTCTTGTTATATTCCCGACATTTCTGCAAGGGTACCGTCAACGCAAATAATGCCTCTCTTGTATCCATGCCTCCTCTGAAGCCAAACTGAGTTTCATCTATCTGTTCCTCACATTTCTTATAAATTCGGTTTTGAACAATTTTCAAAAGAATCTTTAAAGGGTGGCACATTAGGCTTATCAATCTATAGTCATTACATGATTTGGGATTGTTGTTTTTTGGTAGAGGTAAAAATATCGATTTAAGCCATTCTTCCTGGATGTTGCCCTCTACATATATGTGGTGGAGAATTCGGGTGAGTCTCGTTATATTACCGTCATCTAAGGCTTTTAACAGTTCAACTGGAATTTGATCAGGACCCGGTGCTTTTCCTTGTTTTGCATTCTGTAGGGCATTCTTTACTTCTGAGGGTAAAATTTGTAGGTATTGTTTTTTCTTCACCTATATCTTGTTCATTTTCTCTCTCGTCATGGAAAAGATGGATTATATATTGGGAAACAATAAAAGAACATAATATACATTTCTCCGGTAATACCAAAATTGATCCGTCAAACTTAGATAAACTGTACAAGGTTAGACCCTTAGTAGAACATTTGGGAGAAAAATTTCGAAATATTCCAAAGGAGCAGATGGTCGTGGTCGATGAGCAAATGATTCCCCAAGGGTCATTCCTGGCTAAAGCAATACATGCCAAAAAAGTCTCACAAATGGAAATGGAATGGAAAAAGGAGAAGATGGAGTCGTAAGAGAAGCTGTAAGGATGGGCGGATATGCCCTTCTCAACCAAATAAAAATTTTGTTTAACCTTTGTCTAACATATTGTTGCATACCGGAAACATGGAACAATGCAGTAACAATTTTACTAAACAAGAAAGGAGACAAGGCGCACCTAGAAAACTATAGAACAATCAGCTTATTGAACCACATCTATAAAATGTTTACCCGAATAATTACGACAAGACTAGAAAAAAAAAAATTGGATTTCTACCAGCTCCGATAACAAGCTCCGCTCAAAATTCGAAACAAACGATCACTTATAAACAGTAAAAACCTTAATATAAAAATCAATAGAATATAACAGATCACTGGTACTTATCTTCGTAGACTTTGACCACCTGATACCACTAGAGAAATTCATATAAAGCGAGGTGTGATACTGAGCGATTCTCTCTCACCTAAATTATTTATAACGGTCCTCGAATACGCCT